TATTCATTAGGATATCCAGGAAGACTGGATAATTTCTACAAGACTATAAGATAAATAAGGCCAATGAGAAATCTCTGTCTTACTTATTGATGCAAGTCCAGTGCCCACACACTGGCTTATACACAAGTCACTCGACAAATGTTGATTTAATGAATTAATGAATGATTTTCTTTATTGATCTTTATCTGGATTTGGCAACTTAAAGGTAGAAAATTTCTTTAAAACCTGTAACTAAGACCCATCTTTAATTCATCTTTGTTGGAGATGAGGAACACATCTTATGCCTCCATAATACACTTTGTTTGCACATCCCCCCTCTATTATTATGTAAGTAAACCCAAACCTTCAACCTCACCCTAGTAGTTCCAGAACCTTGAACTCTTAGTTCAGAATGCACAGGCTCTTATTATTCCCACATGTTCCCCATCTCACCCTGCATGATTTTCTTCACTCTAATTTTATGCTCCTCTCCCTGTAACCTCTGGTCTAGCAAATAAATCACTGCATTACTTTGTATTTTTCAACCTCTTTGTTAAAATTTAATTATTAATAAGTGGTATCAGATATTTTCTACATTGGTCCTAAAGAAAAACTAATTTATGTGACTTGGAGTTCACATAAATGACTTACTTTGCTATGAATAAACTTATATATTGATTTTGTTATTAAAACACTAAAAATAAAATCTTCCAGGAGTAATGACAAATAGATTTAATTAATTTTGTGATTTATTCCATTTTAATGAGCCTGTAAAGATCATTTTTTTAGTCACTAATAGTATTATGTGCATAGTCCAAAACATAACACATGGTAATAATTTATACTATTTCTTTGTCATTATGATTATCATAATCAAAATTATTAGATTGGTCATTTTCCTTCCTGCAGAGGAAAATATTTCTTAAAAATGTAGAAAAACATCCACTGAAATTCTTTCCTAACCCAGTAGCTTATACACCTACTGCTTCTGTCATTCCTTGGTGTTGTTTTGTAAGAAGTATAAAAAAGTGACAAGGGATATTGGAGGTAATAAGTGATGTAATCCTCTACCAAGAGTGGGCTAAAACCTAGAGAGCGAGCGGCCCAAGCTCTGCTCCAGTCAGCACAACAGAGAGGTTCCTGCCCACTCTGCCCTATTGAAAGCCTTAGAATCACATGGCAAAAACATAAGGTTCATGTATTCATTGGCTGTCTTATGGCAGGAAGAGGATCCTGCCATGAACTCCAGTAATTATTACTATGTTAATTTTAGAGCAGGTCACCATATTACTCTCCCAACGCTCTTCATCCATTAGCTATAATCAGTATGAGTCTTTAATAGCATCTACATACACTGCAACTTTCTTGCCCAACTAATATTGAGAACAGTCATCTCTACAATGAGAGTTTGGGTTTTATAGACGGACTTTCCTGATTTGCAATCCTATCACTAACCTTGTACACCTGACCTAAACTCTCCTCGGGTCTGCATTCTCTTGCACAGACTGTCACCTCAGTGCCCATGTGAGTGAGGTTATTAACTTTAGAAAGTTCCCAGCACGACTTATGGCAAAGTGTAGGAGCAGTGAAATACTATTTTAAAATAGCCATCCATGTGCTTTTCTTTACACATCATCTTACTGCTGAATCATTTCCTCAAGGAAAATTAGAGTTGTTCTAGGCTGAATACAAAGAAGAAGCAACAAATGTTCTGGGTTTGTTTGTTGTTGTTTTTTTTCCTTTACAATTCACAAGTAGGCTTTTGAAGCTCAAAGAAGCAAGATGTATGGGGTTATGGGATGAACTGTATTGCTCCCAAATTCATACACTGAAGTTCTAATTTCCAGTACCTCAGAATGTGACTGTATTTGGAAAAAGGATCTTTACAACATAGCTAAGGTTAAATGAGGTCATTAGAGTGGGCCTTCATCCAAAATGACTGGTGTCCTTAAGAAAGGAGGAAATTAGGATACACAACTATAGAGGAAAGACTACATGAAGAAACAGAGAGAAGGTAGATACCTATAAGCCAAGGAGAGAGAGTTCAGAAGAAATCAACCCTGCTGACACCTTGATCTCAGACGTCTAACCTTCAGAAATGTGAGATTAGCCCTTGTTTCTTAAGCAACCCAGTCCATGGTACTTTATTATAGAAGCCCTAGCAAACTAATACAGAGAGCTTAGGCCATGATAATAGATCAAAGAGAAGAGAGAAAGCCCCAGATGCTCTGGCTCTGCAAGGGACAGGTTGAGCATTGTTCAATCAGGCAGGGACTGGAAATGTGAAGGAGTGCATTAGAACATTGGAGAACGATCCCAGGATGAGGAGACCATATCTAGGGGATACACATGGGAGGCAGTCCCTCTACAGAGAGATTCAACAAAGGTTACTCCATCTCACTCCTCTCACCACCACCCCCAAAGCACGGACACACATTTCAAGGCCAGCAAAGTACAATGTCAATCATGGAAGTCCACTATGGATTTGACTTAATATTTCATTTTTATCATAAATATCAAGGAAGGTTTTTTAAGTAAAAATTTCAAATAATATTAATCTAGAGGAAGAAGGAATAGGCGCTGTCCAGGCAGATGAATTGTTTAATTTAGAAGGTCCTGGGAAGAAGTGGAAATTTTATTTAAAGACTGAAAAAGAATAATTCCTAAAGAAAGGCAAGTTCATTAGAGTAGATAGTGCTACACAGACATTTAGAAGAAAGCTCTGGAGATTAATCTTCTGTTCAAATCCAGAAGATTTAACGAACTTCTTCAAAGAAAATCCTGGGAGAGGGCCTATTTGAGACGTAAAATTAAATTAAATTAAATTTTTTGTGGAATAGTTGAATTTTGAATGAGAACATTAAACTTGTCTGTAATCAAAAGTCATTTTGTTGGTTTGGAGATATAAAAACACAATTTGTATTTCTTCATGCTAATCAATCATGCAGATATATTTTTTAAATGTTTCTATGGTATTATATTTAAAACCATTCAGTCTAAACTTATCATTTTAGTGAAATAAGACAGTAAAAAATGTTTTGCCTTTACCATATTCTACTTATTCATTATTTTTCATTTAACTGAGAATATTTTTTTCAGTCACTTATTATATACTAGGGACTCTGTTAGGCAACAGGAGTACCCAGTGAATAAAACAAATACTTCTCTGCTTTTGTGATGCTTACAATCTCCTAGCGAGGCAGGCATTTAGACAAGTCACATGAAAAATCATTTAAGAAAAGTAATACTGGGTCAAGGTACAGATAACTAGGCCTAAATTTCAGAAAGAAAAAAAAAACTTGAAAGAAAAAAAATCTCTAAACAAATTATATATCACTTTTAATATATAAAAATATATAATATAAAATTTAAAAATACAAAGGTTATGCATCTCATGTATCAACTCTCCTCCTTCAGGTTTCTTTTTCTTTTTATTCTTTTTATTTTATTTNTAAAATGTTTAAATGAACAATTATGAATATATAGAAGCAAGCAAAAAATGGAAATCCTCACCAAATAATGAACAGATACAAATAACTAAATGGAAATTTTTATAACTAAGACCGACAACTAAAATGAAAAGATCAGAGATTGAGCTTGACTTCAGAAGGGAGATGACAGATAAGTAATTAGTCAATTGGGTGATAAAGAAGAATAATTATTCAATCTGAACTAGTGCTGAAAAACAAAGTAAATAGAACCTTAACAATTTATGTGATTATAAAAATAGGTCTAGTTGAAAACTAGATCTAGTGGGAAAAGAAGTTCTAGAGGTCTATAATTTGGTAGTTTCTTAAAACAGAAAAGAGAAAATTAAATATCTAACTAGCATCCACATAACCTAGTAATTGCACTCTTACCAATTACTTCAGAGAAATAGAGAAATGGAAATGGATGTTCACACAAAACTTGTACACCTCTGCTTACAGTAGCTTTATTTGTAATAGTCAAAGCCTTCAATATTTTATTTCCTTAAATGGGTGAATAGTTAAAGTACTTACTTAGTAATAATACTATTATATACTCAGAAAATTGGATGAATCAATAGAGAATTATACTGAATTTTAAAAAAATCCAAAGTTTAATTTTATATTATTTCACTTATATTGCATTCTGGAAATGGTAAAATAGAAAGAGAGAGCAGATTAATGGCTGCCAAAGAATTTGGAAGGAGTGAGAGTGGGAAGGAAATAGCATGGACAAAAATGGGCAACGTGGAAATCTTGACTGTAGTACCAAACTGTGATACACTTGTATTTTCAAAACATTACCATATCATTAACTTAGTGAAGAGTACTTAAGATCTCTATATTATTGCTTGCAATTGCATTTTAATTAATCAGTTCAGTTAGGTTGCTCAGTTGTGTCTGACTGTTTGTGACTCCATGGACTCAAGCAGGCCAGGCTTCCCTGTCCTTCACCAACTCCCAGAGCTTACTCAAACTCATGCCCATCAAGGCAGTGATGCCATCCAACCATCTCATTCTCTGTTGTCCCTTCTCCTCCTGCCTTCAGTCTTTCCCAGCATCAGGGTCTTTTCAAATGAGTCAGTTCTTCATAGCAGGTGGCCAAAATACTGCAGTTNTCCCCTTCTCCTCCTGCCTTCAATCTTTCCCAGCATCAGTGTCTTTTCAAATGAGTCAGTTCTTCATATCAGGTGGCCAAAATACTGCAGTTTCAGCTTCAGCATCAGTCCTTCCAATGAATATTCAGGACTGATTTCCTTTAGGATGGACTGGTTTTATCTCCTTGCTGGCCAAGGGACTCTCAACAGTCTTCTCCAACACCACAGTTCAAAAGCATCAGTTCTTTGGTGCTCAGCTTTCTTTATGGTCCAACTCTCATATCCATACCTGACTATTGAAAAAAACATAGCTTTCAGTAGATGGACCTTTGTGGACAAAGTAATGTCTCTGCTTTTTAATATGCTGTCTAGGTTGATCATAACTTTCCTTCCAAGGAGCAAGCATCTTTTAATTTCATGGCTGCAGAAGCGGAAGTGTTTGTGGCTCCTGGGAGCGACCACCTGAGTGAATGGTGGGATCCCTGAACCGTGTTATGGAGAAGTCCGGTGAGCCCCAGTTGGATGCTAAGTTCAAGGTCACCAACCAGCTCATAGATTTTCAGTGGAAGCTGGGTATGGCTGTGAGCTCTGACAGTTGCAGATCCCGTAAGTATCCTTATGTTGCAGTGATGCTGAAAGTGGCAGATCATTCAGGCCAAGTGAAGAACAAGTCCTTTGAAATGACAATCCCACAGTTTCAGAATTTCTACAGACAATTCAAGGAAATTGCTGCAATTATTGAAACTGTGTGAAAACTGATTCTAAACGGAAAATAATCTAAAATCACGGACTTCACTTTCTGCAACAAAGCTGCTTAAGGATCGAATGATATTTATTGAATGAAAATTATACTTTTGGTTTTCTACTTTTTAAAATAATAATAAAAAAAAAATCAGACAAACAGGAATTACAAAGTGGTGATCGATGCACAGCTTTGTGAATGTACCAAGAGCCACTGATTTGGATAGTTTAAAGGGTAAATTCTGTGGTATGTGANTCTGCATATCTGAGGTTATTGATATTTTTCCCAGCAATCTTGATTGTTTGTGCTTATCCAACTCAGCATTTCTCATGATATACTCTGCGTATAAGTTAAATAAGCAGGGTGACAACATACAGCCTTGATGTACTCCTTTCTCTATTTGGAACCAGGCTGTTGTTCCATGTCCAGTTCTAACTGTTGCATCTTGACCTGCATACAGATTTCTCAGGAGGCAGGTAAGGTGGTCTGGTATTCCCATCTCTTCAAGAGTTTTCCACAGTTAGTTGTGATCCACACAGTCAAAGGCTTTGGCATAGTCAATAAAGCAGAAACAGATGTTTTTCTGGGATTCTCTTGCTTTTGCTATGATCCAACGGGTGTTGGCAATTTCATCTCTGGTTCCTCTGACTTTTCTAAATCCAGCTTGAACATCTGGAATCTCATGGTTCACAGACTGTTGAAGCCTGGCTTGAAGAATTTTGAGCATTACTTTGCTAGCATGTGAGATGAGTACAATTGTGTGGTAGTATGAGCATTCTTTGGCATTGCCTTTCTTTGGGATTGGGATGAAAACTGACCTTTTCTAGTCCTGTGGCCACTGCTGACTTTTTCAGATTTGCTGGTATATTGAGTGCAGCACTCTCACAGCATCATCTTTTAGGATTTGAAATAGCTCATCTGGAATTCCATCACCTCCACTAGCTTTGTTTACAGTGATGCTTCCTAAAGCCCACTTGACTTCGCATTCCAGGATGTCTGGCTCTAGGTGAGTGTTACATAGGGTAGATAGGGTAGATCACAGAATTTCTAGCTCCAGGCAATCTTCCAGGGACAACATTCCAATCTCACTGCAGAACCGGTCTGATAAGGAAACAACAGCAGCAACCACTTCCATCACCAGCACTACTGCCCTTCTGCCTTTTGTCACCAGCCCCAGAGGTCATGTCTGGCGTGGGTGCCACTGAATGGCAGAGCCCAGATGACACGCCTATTTGACTGTCCCTGCACCATTACCGAAAAGCTTTAATTACTCTAACTTTACAGAGAAGGTCTTAACGTTTGCCCTGTGGATCTTTGTTTAGTCTTATAATTTCTCTGTATCCTGTGAGTTAGTTGTATCCCTTACAAATAGATGAGTTTTATTTTTTTATAGAGCCTGACGATTTTTATCTCTTAAATGGAAAGTTAGTCCGTTTATGTTTATTATGATGACTAACATATGTGGACTTGTAGCTACAATATTATTTTGTACTTACATTTCAATTGTGTTTTTTCTCTTTCCTTCTTTGATCTTTCAGTTAAATTAAATTTTTATATTCCTTTTCTTCCATTTCTAGTTTGGAAGTTCAGCACTGTATTTCAGACATGACTTCATAACTGAACAACAACAACTTTTAAAACATTTTTCTCCACCCACCCACTTCTGCACCATTCCCCACCTCAGTTTACAACCTTACATAATGTGTTTAACTGCAAATTTCTTTTAATTTACCATGCATGGGGATTTAATGAACTTCCTGAATCTAAGCACAGGTACTTTTTACCAATTCTGGAAAATTCTCAGCTATTAAATTATAATAGTTTACTCTTCCCCATTATCTTTCTGTAATCAACTGCTGGACCAGATAATTAGATTATTATATAGCTTTAAAAAAAAAAAACTCTTATATGTGTCTCAACCATATTTTTTCATTTTCTTATTTTATTTTCCTTTTCTTACTGTTCTGGTTTTTTTTTCCTTTTCTACCTACCAAGAAAATTTTAAGTGTCTTGCTCTTCTAATTATACTTTCAACTCCCTCTTTAATCTCTATAAATATATTAAACATATTTACATTCTGTGAGCTTCCCAGGTGGCTCAGTGGTAAAGAACCCACGTACCAGTGCAGGAGACACAGGAAACTCGGGTTCAGTCCCTGGGTCAGGAAGATCCCCTGGAGAAGGAAATGGTAACCCACTCCAGTATTCTTGCCTAGGAAATCCCATGGACTGAGCAGCCTGGTGGGCTACAGTCCACAGGGTCACAAAGAGTCAGACACAACTAAGCAACTCAACAAAAACAACAGAGTTAAATCTTAAGAGATTTAACATTCTCATGTTGACTAAAAAACTCTTAACAGCTATCTTTTCAAATAGTTCGCTTTCTCATTATTTTTCTATTATCAACCTTGGAATCTCCAATTAGGTGTATTTTAGATCTAGGTTTTGTCAGTATGTTCTGCATCTTGTGCGACCATCAAATTATAAACTCAAAGTCACCAATATAATAGGACATAAAAGATATCTGTGGCAACCTATATGCCTTGGAAGTTAAGTTACCTATATAACAAATGTAAAAGTGGGCTTAATTAAAATCTGAAGTTTAACACATTTATCAAGTTTATTTATGATTTGTATATATGTTAAAGTTTGAGCAGCTTATTATCATACATGAGAGGACCTTTGTCATAAGCAAATACAGTCAGGAACCCCTCTCAGAACTAATACATGCATGTTAGGGAAAAGGGCTGCCTTTTCCTTCTAAACCTCAAGCCATGATGATCTAAGACTGGGGTTGTGAGGGCCGTCTTTGCTGCTACAAAACGACAACAACAACACACCAGAAAGTGTACCTAGACCACAAGCGAAGGAAAGTGACAAGATACAGCAAGATGGAATCCAAAGGATACTACATGAGTCCCTGCCAAGCTTGAAGTTAGAACCACTCTGAAATTCCCAGTTAAATGAGTTAATAAATTCCTTCCTTTGATTAAAATATTTTGAGCTGAGTGATTATCATTTGAAACAGAAGGTTCTGAAATATATATTTCAGCAGTATCAGCTATCAAATATTAAATACCAAAAAATACATATATTTACCATCCTGGAGCATCACGCAGGAGACAGTCTTAATTTAATTTCCAGACTATTTCTGAGCCAGAAGTTTTGTAGAGGAAGTAGTCAATGGGCAAATGGATAAATATTATATCTCACTGTCAGGAAGAATACTTGTGTTCCTTTAAATCATGCTAGTTTCCCCCTCCTGTTCTTTTCCAAGTATCTCTCGAGCCCAAGATTTCCAATTGGTTAATAAACTGTCTCCAGCTGTCCTCTTGTCAAATTTTAATAAAAGGAGGAAAATCAATTAACATGCACCTGAATACATTTAGACAAGATTTTCAAGTGGCTTTTTACTATAAAAACCTGAGCAGCCCTGTAAAAATAAGTCAATAAGCTTTGGGAATACAGATTGGAAATGAAGGACTTTCACTTTCACCTGGGTTAACAATAACAAATGAGCTAAGTGATCAGAGAGGTGAATAAATGCTTAAGTGAGAATTTTCCTATAGAAATCAGTTACATTGTCTTATAGTATTGAGAACAGTTTTATCCTCAGGAAAAACCAAGAATAAAATGCCTCCTTGCTACATGAATACGTGGGGTAGAAGGAAATAATTGCTTTTAATCCTCTTGAAAGACCAATTAATTTTCAGTGGGTTCTATCCTGTTTTGCCTCCTAGTATTTTATCCACTTCATGTAGGCAGTCTTGGGAATGATGTATTTGCTCTTATCAAAAACCTAAGACTTCTAAGGCAAAATGGGAATTCAACATTTAATGCTCATGAGTCCTCAAAAACTTTATCTGATCTGTAAATATGCCTTATGATAAATAAGACATAACACATATTTGTTTCCTCCAAACGAAACAAAATGACAGTAAACAAACCCTATGTTTCTCCATATCTGTGCTTTTGCCATGTTTTTAGCTCAGGGCATGTCGTTTGCCCTTCCTCTTATTTTTGAAACATACAAAATGACTCTTGCCTTAATACCTATACATCTTAAATGTACATGATTAGAACTTGCTATCCCCACTGAAATAATAATCCAAGTAGTTACATCTTATATAGTGCCAAGCACTGTATTGCTTTACTCATATTAATTCATTTATCACCAGAAGAACCCTATGAGGCAGATATTACCATCACCTCCACTTCACAGGTGAGAAAACAGAGGCACAGTAATTTGCCCAAGATCATACAGTGACTAAGCAGCAGAGCTGCAGTTCAAGTTGTGCTATAGTGACGGTCTAGCACAGTATTTTTCACAGAAAATAAAAACCGTTCCATCTTTAAGAGAAAATCTGGTAAACTGTCACAAAATAAATAGATTTACATGAGTGTACACAACTTACTGTGCTCATAAAACTCAATTTAAAAACCTTCTTCTTAACGACCATTGTCAGATTTTCCTCCTACTTATCCTTAATTCCCACTTGGAAATAATCTATACACTCTTATGTGATTTTCTACTTGTAAAAGTATTTTCCTCAGACATCCTTGATTTTAATTGTGTGTATGATTTATGGACCCAGTGAAACTGCAGGCTCTCAAAAGTTAGAGCATTTCAAAATTATTATCACAAAGCAGCTAATGCAGTGTTTTGTATGGAATACACGCTTAATAATCACTTGTTAATGGACTTAATTTATCCTTTAGGCCAAAACTGACTTCTACCTGAAGCATATAGTTCAAGCAGTTGTCTCATATCTTTTCAGAAGAAGACAGGAATGATGGTGATGATGGTGGTGATGATAATGATAATATCTTATGGAAAAACCCAAACAAACTTTTGGCCAACTCAATATATAAGAAAAAAAGAGAATCTAGTACTGGGTAGTTCTTTGCAAAATACCTGTTTTCCACAATAATTTTAATAATTAGCTCAACTGTCTTGCAAATATCCACTACCAATACCTAAGTAATCACCTCCATATTTGTCATTTACACTAGGAGAAGAAATGCAGCTTCTTCCAATCTCTAATTAAGGAAAATTTAACCTAGACAGCATATTAAAAAGCAGAGACATTACTTTGCCAACAAAGGTCCATCTAGTCAAAGCTATGGTTTTTCCAGTAGTCATATATGGATGTGAGAGTCGGACCA